TAGCCTGACATCGCTGTCTGTAGTCCTCTGGGCTCTTTCTGGTTATAGCAGGAGTGGCCATTGGTTAAGGCTTTTCCCCAATTAGGCTACTTTCTACTTCCTAAGAGTGCAGCCCTGACCTCTGTCAGGGGACCCCGCAGAGCTGTGGCTTTTCCCTTTAGTAGGCAACATAGGGTCTCAGAATTCTGAATGTGGATTATCTAACCTTTAACTCTGCCACCTAATTCTTTCTCAAAACTTTGATTCATTCATTTATTCAAACAAGGATTTATTGAGCCTTCACCTTATGCCAGACACTATGTTCAGTGTTGGAAAATATAGCCCTGAACAAAGCAGACATCAGCCCCTCCCCTCGTAGAGCTGATGCTACAGAGAGGGAGACAGAAGGTAACCACGTAACTGAGGTGCTGGTGCATCGTGCTGAGGAGAAAAGTGAAGCAGGAAAGAGGACAGGGTGTTTCAGGGGTGGTGTGGGAGGAGTTGCGTGTTTAGGTTGGGTAGCCAGGGAAGGTCACACTGATCACGGGACACTGAGTGAGAACCTAAAGGAGGTGAGAAAGTGTGCCATGTGTGCATCTGGGGAACAGCATTCCAGGCAGAGAGGCCGCACGTGCAGAGGCCCTGGGGCAGTAGCATGCCTGTGTGTTCAAGGGTCACTGAAGACATCTGCCAGATCAGCGTGTCTTTCAGGAATCATTCACAGTAGGAGTGGCAGTAGGAAGCCATCAGATCCAAAAGGGGATAGTGCTGGTGGTGGGTGGTATCGCTTTAGGCCTTTGAAGGACTTTGACTTTTACCCTGTGTAAAATGAGGGCATTGAAGGAGGGCATTGAAAGCTTCTGAGCAGACACCACAAGGGGTCCAGGGCAGAAAGCAGTCAGGAAGCTGATATGGTTTGGCTGTGTCCCTACCCAAATCTCATCTTGAATTATAGTTCCCATAATACCCATATGTTGTGGGAGGGACCTGGTGGAAGGTAATTGAATCACGGGGGCAGTTACCTCCATGCTGCTGTTCTCGTGATAGTGAGTTCTCATGAGATCTGATGGTTTTATTAGGGGATTTTTCCCTCTTTGCTTGGCACTTCTTCTCACCACCGTATGAAGAAGGATGTGTTTGCTTCCCCTTCTGCCATGAATATAAGTTTCCTGAGGCTTCTCCCACCCCGCAGAACTGTGAGTCAATTAAACCTCTTTCCTTTATAGATTGTCCAGTCTCAGGTATGTCTTTATTAGCAGAGTGAGGATAGACTAATACAGAGGTATTGTGAAAGATTCCTGAAAGACACATGCTTTAGATCAACCATTTCTCCAGATAGTCTGGCTTGATCTGAGGATAAAATGTAGACTGACTTTTTTAACCTATGGAGAACTTCAATGACTCATTTGCATCAATGAAACTCAGTGCCAGTCAAATAGGCAAAGGCACCTTTGTTCAGCCCAAGGGGTCTTGCTTCTGCAACACCCTGGGTCCCTTTTGCAGGGAGACATTTCCCTCTGGTCTCCATGTTGAGAAAAATAAATGATTCTCCTGCAAGCCAGTTTGTTTTTCTCTCTTATGTATGCACTATTAATCTTCTCCTGTCTCCTTGCTTGCTTTTGTTAAGAAGGTGCTCAGAGCTAGATCTGCAGTTTGTCTCTAGCAAGAGGACAGGACCCTGTGGCCTCTGCATTCATTTCTTTCCTCCCCTTACTTTCACACACCTTAATTAAAAGAAAAGCTTTTAGTCTATTATGTTTTTGTGGCTCACTCAAATGTGGCAAGCTGTAGATTAGATTTGATATACGATACAAACGGCATCATTTAAAGATTAAAAGAAGGAATCCAGTTTGAAGTTCAGGTTGTTTGTATTCTGTTTTTAGTTCCATAAATACAAGTATATCTATGTATACACAGTATTTTCATGATTAAACCCTAAGTGGCTAATATATTGTTAGTGTGTGTATTTCTACAGGACTGCCTCTTATTTATAGTTTTGCTTCCTAAGGTTTCAGTTGCCCCCCATCAACTGTAGTCTGAAAATATTAAATAGAAAATTTTAGAAATTAACAGTTCATAAGTTTTAAGTTGTATGCTGTCCTGCTTGGCCCCATCTGAGACAAGAACCCTCCCTTTGCCCGGCACATCTGCGCCATCTGCACTCCCAACCGTCAGTCTCTCAGTGCCACTCAGTGGGCACACCTATGTCTTGCTGCCACAGTGCCTGTGTTCAAGTAACCCTTATTTTACTTAATAATGACCTCAAAGTGCAAGAATAGTGATGCTGGGGCATACAGTCATAATTGTTCTACTTTATTATTGCCATTGCTTATTTGTTTGTTTTCTTCCAGACAGAGTCTTGTTCTGTCGCCCAGGCTGGCATGAAGTGGCACGATCTTAGCTCACTGCAATCTTTGCCTCCCCAGGTTCAAGCAATACTCCTGCCTCAGCCTCCCGAGTAGCTGGGGTTACAGGCGTGTGCCACAGCACCTGGCTAATTTTTGTGTTTTTAGTAGAGATGGGGTTTTACCATGTTGGCCAGGCTGGTCTCAAACTCCTGATCTCATGATCTGCCTGCCTTAGCCTCCCAAAGTGCTGGGATTACAGATGTTAGCCACTGTGCCTGGCCCTTATTCTCATTGTTAATCCCTTCCTGTTCCTAATTTATAAATTAAATTTTACCGTAGGTGTGTGTATGTAATACATATAGGATTTGGTACTATCTGAGGTTTCAGGCATTCGCTGGGAAGTCTTGGAGCGTATCCCTGGAGGAACACGGGAGGGTGTTGTATCTTTGATGGTTTCAGTGCTAATTGCCAGTGGCCTTCTACTCCAAGTTTCTAAATTTGTTTTAGCTCAGTAATATGCAGCAGTGATGCTGGTATGAGATAACAGTCTAGGCTGGACTGGAAGGTTAGAACCAGCAGTGGAGTCTGTTATAGATTTAATTTCCAGCCCTTGCCTCTCCCATTCTGATTTAGCAAGTCTTATGAACCCCTTTGAAAGCTTTATGTACATACTGAGCAAACAATATATTGTTTTGAGACCTTAGAATTTAAAATTTTGTTGTCACTTTTATTCTTGAACAACCACTTCACTGGGTATAAAAATCTTGGATCAGATTCTGTTTGTCTAAAAATCATGAGAATTTCCTAATCACCATTTAACACTTATAGATAATGATCTTTGTTACTTTAATGGTAAATAACCCCATCAGCACTGATGCTTCATTTTTATTGCTTGATTTTAATACTTGAAACGTGAACAAGAAAAGCCAGATGCTTCTTGCCTCTGGTCTCTAAGAGCTGATCCTTCTTTTTATGTTTTAGTCTCCAGTCATTTTTTTCTTATCTCAAAAGTTCTTTTCTGTGATGTCCTGGCCTTTGCTTATGATCAATGTGCTGTTCGGACTTCCATTTGGAACACATTTTATTCACAGGTTGGATCTCTGTGATCTCTGCTCTGTGTCTACTTTCTGAAGTTTCATCTTTTTTTCTGTCCCTTTCCCTTATTTTCTCTGCTTTCTGGGATGATTTCTTAGTTTTGTACTCCACACCATGGTCGGTTTTCGGCAGTGCTAAGTCAGGCTTTCATCAGCTCAGTTACGACTGTGCTTTTGGCTGTGAGCCCTTCTATTTCATCAACATCCCGTCTCATCTCTGCAATTATTTAATAAAAAGTTATATAAATATTATTTAGCATAGAAGGAGAATGTTTTCATAAAAATGTCTTCTGTTTGTGATGGTAAATCTTTTTCAGATGAGAAATTATTTTTTGAGCCAATCCTTTTCTCTCTCTTTCTTTGTAGTCAGATTTTCCCCCACTCCATGAGCTTCAAGTTCATTTTCCCTTATTACCTAAAGAGCTCAGCTCCATGTTGGGTACAGTTAGTGTACTCTTAGTTCAAGGAGAAGGTAGTAAGGATTCCTTCCCACCGCTGTGCCCTAGGCTGCCTTTTTACTGCCTCACGGGTATGGGAGAACAAAGCCCCACCCACAGGCATGGAGCTGTCTGTCAGCTCAGTGCTCTGGAGGGCTTCACACTGCCTTTGGCACACGGTGGTGCTGAATAAAATGCTTCTAGAAAATCTGCAAAAGAAAATCCCCTTGGGAGTGGGTGTGACATTCAATGTGTCTCAGAGCTGTGACAAACCAGCATTTTGTAAGTCATATCCTTGCATGATAGCCAAAGTGTTATAGCCCAGGACTGACTGTGAATGTTCTGACTCATGAATTTCACCTCAACAGAAATATAATTTACTCTTAGCTCCTAAAACATAATAATTTGCATTTTTAAAGGGTTCTTGATGTGTTTTCCTTCTTCATCTCTCTTCTGCCACCTAAACATTGATGTTTCTTTTCCATTCAAGAGAGGTCGTTGATTTAGAAAGGACAAACCGTTTATCTTAACTCTTACTAAATGGGGAGCTATATAAATTTTGAATCCTGAAGCTGTGGGGTGTGATATCTTACTGATCTTTTTTTTTTTTTTTTTTTTGGGGGGAAAATGTAGATATTTGTAGAAAACAGATAACACTGTGGGCTGTACTCTTCATTTTATCAGGGCTGAAGATAAAGATAAAAAATAAAATCCATCAAAGACGTAAGGTTATCCGATTTAGTCTCAATCTGCTCTTAGCGCAAGGGTTACCCTGAGTTATCACAATTCCTAGGATTTTTCAGAGACAAAATCCTGCCAGACAGCTAGGTAACTTAGAAAATTGTGCTTTCAATCAGAGATCACCCAATGAAAAGTCTCATTAACCTGGCTCCTCCCCATGAGCCCTTCCCCTAAAGAGGTTCCAAACAGGCTACCTTTGTAAGGAGAAAGTCCATTTACCAGCCAAGATTAAACCAGTCAAGAATCAGAATGAGGGAATATGTCCGAGGTACCAGTTGGTTTATCTTCTGCAAGAACTTCCCATCCCTTCGACCCTTGGGAACTGTTAATCAAATGGCAGACGGTGAACATTAAAACCACGCATTGAAAATAATGCATCTCTCTTTCACTCTTCTTTCCAGGTTTGAGATTTTTAAGAGCTCTGAGACTGATACAGTTTTCAGAAATTTTGCAGTTTCTGAATATTCTTAAAACAAGGTAAGATGTTCTTCATTGTATTTTTTTTTTCATTCCAGTCCCCTCTGCCAAGTTGCAAATATCAAGTGTGCTTGCTTTCATCACAATGACATTATTAATGTTATGTGATTTACAGAAAGAGTGAGCTAACACAGAGAGGGAGAGAAAACCCAGAGCAGGGTTTGGGTTGCTGTCTTCTGCAGGGCCAGGGAACTATGTGGTGAAAAGAGAGAAATAGCCGTGCAGGCAGGGGAGCAGGGACAATTTTAGGGATGCATGGCTGATATCTGGGTGCCTAGTGGGGTTGCCCAGATATAAGCCACAGTGTCAAAGGGAGACGTGCACAACGAATGAGGGATAGATTTGCTCATTGATTGGGAAGTCCTTGCTGCCAGATCCTAAATCGCCCCTTTATTACATCACTAAATAAGAAATTGAACCCAGTCATAAAGGCAATAGAAGCAACGCTGTGAGAGGCAATCACAAACCTCATATGGCAAACAGAAAATCATTTCATTTCAAAGCACATTTTAGATGTTCACTTTATATCCATATAGCCCTGGGGGCTTGCTCTGTGAATTGCCTTTTGGGGGAAAACCTACAAACCTCCTGACGAATGCGCCATGAATACTTCTGTTAACTGTGTTATGATCTGGAAAACACAACTGGACCAGGAGGAAAAGCCCCCAGAGGATGCCTTTCCTGATGACCTGCCGGCTTGCAGAGCTGCCCTGAAACCAGGGCTGTCTTGATGAATAAACTAATAAAAGAGGTTAGACGTGCTCTAATGGAGAATAAGCACAGGCTATAAATTTCTCTTCTAGGAAATTACACTCTAAGAAGCTCACTTCTAACATTCCATTTCCTCTTTGGTTGCCCTTCATGCATTTGATAAATGATTAAAAACAGGACACCTCCATATTTTGTGATTTGTAATTAATATAGCTGCAGTCTTGAGGATTAGATTTGGCATCATTTTTCTGGTGACACAGGCTGGGACCCAGCTTCCTGAATGAACCTGACACAGCCAACAAATTCAACCTATGATTGGCTTTACTCCTTGGTCGTTTGTGTTTTTTTGCTTGTTTATTTTGTTTTGCCTTAATTCCAAATCGGTTTCCTCTGACTGTTCATCTGTGTGACTGTGAGATCAAATTCACTTTCTATTAGCCAAGTTGAAAAGAAAAAGAGAATCCGATGGCACCGAAGTCTTTAAAAGTATGTCCTCCCACCTTTTACTGTTCATTATCCTGAGATAAGAATTCATGAGTTCTCTATTTATTAGCAATAATGTAATAGTATTCATATACAGTGAATATTGTTTTTCTTCATATTTTTCTAAGTGACAATAACCTTGATTTCTGCCTTTTAATGATTATTCTATGTACTAGAAACCTATTACTTTTGAAATGTACATGGTCAATGAAGCTAGCATCTCTCCCATATTTACCTACATCAGATTTGCTCCACTGGACTGCGTTTTTATAAGTGGAATGTACCAGTACCCAGCACCAAACATAGAGCCTTGTCCTTAAGAGACACTCATTTTTCTGGTAGGGATCGTGTTTTGTGATACTCTGTAGCATCAGGTAGTATCTGTCTCTCCCTGTCTCACAATTACATTATATGTTAGGGGGATTTTTAATCTTTGATGCCAGCATTTTGAGAAGGTCCCATTGCTCTGGGGAATATTGTCTACTCCCTAGACCCTTTTAGGACTTGAGAGAATGATGGACTATCTGAATATCTTTTTCTGACCCTCTGCTAGGACACTCACCTCTCTTTCCTTTGGATATGGGAAGTGACTGTGGACTCCCTGGTGGTCAGCTTACCCACCAACTGCACAGTTATGGGTGCTTCCTCCTCTCAGTGAAGAGCCGGGGAAGCTGAAGCAGCCAGCCAGGGTACGAGGGAGAAAATGGCCCTAGGGAAGAGTCACAGGGTGGAAGGCTGGCTGGGCATCTGCCATCCGGGCCCCAAAACAGCATTTCTCCGGCACCCCACTTCCCACTATGTGAAACTCTTATCAGAGGGTACTTTTTGCCACAACCCCACAACATGGGTTTTCAGAGTTCTTGTCACTTATGGTCATAACCAGGTGGTTGAGGTAATTCAGCAAGCCTGGAATGAGCACCCATTGGTGTCAGCAGCAAGGTGGGTACTAGGATGGAGTCCTGCTGGCAGAGACCTTGCTAGGTGGGGGCCAGGCCGTCTGACAGTGTGATTAATGCTGATGTCAGTATGCCCAGGGGTTGGGGGGGGGGGCAACTAAGCTGGGCTTGGCATGAGTTGTGGGGCAGTCAAGGATCTTTTCAAGGAGAAGGGGGTGCTTCAGGTAAGCCTGGTAGAAAACTAAGTGTCATCCTCGGGGGGCTGGGCATGTGGGGGGTGTGAGGAGCAGGGTTGTCTTCGAATCAAGGAAGCTGCAAACATCACACTGGTGTGAGGGCATGGCACTTGGGGAAGCTGGGTAATTCTGTACTCCTGGACAAGAAGGTTCTGTGGTGGAAAGAGGAGGATGAGGTAAAGAGGGTAGGAAAGGCCAAGTCACCAGGGACAGAAGCAAACGTCATGTAACTGTAAGAACTCTAGAAGCTCTAGGATGACTCTCTGAGCCCATTCTCTCTCCAGGTGCCAGCCCAGCTAACTTTGACTCCTTTTTGGGCATCCCCAAGTGTGGATCCCAAAGCTCTCATTTTCCCAGAGAAAGTGCAGCATTTGTAGGGCTTTGGACACTTAGCGATTCTCCTGTGACTCTTCTTTACTCTGCTGCTTTCATAGCAGTCCTTCCAGCAGGGTGGGTTGGGGGACCCATGTCATTATCTTTAGGGAGGTTTTGTCTGGCTGTCTTTGGCAGTGAATCCTTGCCAATCCGTGGCATTAGGTAGGGATGGAGGCATTGTGATGCGATTCGAAATCATGATTTGAAGTTGGTATTTCATTTTCAGTATTTTGGCTGCCTCACTGGGCCAAAAGCTGGAAGAAACAGGGCAGAGAAGCATAAGGTGGCAGAAAGATTGATACAGAATTGAGAAGGCAGCAGAGGAAATTAAAGTGTATGGGATGAAATGGGCCAATCACGGTATATGACCAGCATCAGGGCCCTTTCCCAAACTGCAAGCCCACAGTGGGCCTGGAATACTCCATAGCCTGAAACAGGCCAATTAAAGGGAAAGCAAGGAGACTGCCTCTCACCATCTGAGGTTTTGGCAGTTCCTCAATTGCCCTGCAAACTGGAGATCTACACACAGGTGATAGAACACTTATTCTACTATCAGAGGAAAGTCAGCAGCTGTGTTTAAAGGCTATAATTCCCCTTCTCATTGACCGTGGTAGATATTGATGAGTAAAACATGAATCACTCAGCAAATTTTTTCAAAATGGGAATTGCCTTGCTGTTTTCTCTTTTTCTTTTTTCCTTCCTTCCTTCCTTCCTTCCTTCCTTCCTTCCTTCCTTCCTTCC